CTGCAAAAGAAAGTTTCCTTGATGAGCCACAATTCTATGTGGGCATAAGATTAAGTGTTAAGAATGCAGCTAAACCCTGGTTCAGGAAAGTGGCAGTAGTAGGTTTGCTCTAGTTTCAATGACCTAAGGCTCAGGGAACATCGTCAGAGAGGGGTTGGAATGACTATGAGAGCCAAAGGACCAGAACATCTGCTACAAGATTGTCATCTATATAAGACAAGAAAGATGCACCATGAACTCTCAGCAGTGTAGCTGCTTAAGCAGAACCTGAATACCAATTGCCTTACCAATTCTGATTAGGGAAATCTCACAAGGCCCTACCCTTAGATGAAGAGATCGAGGGAATTAATGATTGCTAAGAGAGGGTGAATCAGTCTTCCCCAGGTATTATCCCCCTGATTGATTATCCAATACCAAGTAGTAAGTCTTAAAAAAATGAACATAGGAGCTAAATGTACACAGCCAGCCGCATTTATGTAATTATTTGTATTTGTATACACACACATATATGTAACAATAATGATTTTTAGAAGTCTATGAATTTGAGAGGAAATGGGTAGTTGGGAGTGGTACATAGAAGGAGCTGGAGGGAAGGGGGAATAGTTTAAATATGGTACACCTATATGAAATTAAAAAATAATTATTGATCTGGAAACACTCAGAATATTAAGTAAGTAAGTATCTGGATGTTTCACGGTCCAGTCAAGTTGGCTTATGAAGTTAGCCATCATGCCTATGTTTATGGAATTGGTATGCCAGAGAGCCATGCACAATAATGCCTTTATGGACAGACTGGAGCTTCAGATGCAGCAACACTCAAATATTTCAAGGTTGCTACCAGAACACCACAGCCAAGTTTCTGCTGTGTGAGCATCTAAACGGAGTCTTCCCTAGCCCAAGTCAAGGTGTCCTGTGAATATTTTTTAACAGCATTTGATCTGGATAATCCACGCAGAGGTTGGGTCTTAGCTATAACCTCTTATTTCTGTAATTCCTACCATGATTTACCAATGCTTCCTGCTAGCTCAATGCTTTGGGGATTTGAGGCCAGCCCTGAAGGAATGAGAATATTAAGGGGAACAAAGGACATTTTAATCACCTTCTTTTTTAGGTCTCTACCTGTTCCAGATGTTTGCTGGAGATAGAAAGGCAGGAACAGGCCATGATTTCCTGTCTCCATCACATCCTTTCCTGAAGAGTGACTCAGTTTCCTGCTCATAAAAGGGGCCACCAGCCATTGTGGATTAGCGAGGAAACCTGAGTGGGAACTGAGGGCCTTCTTTCCTCCCTGCTACTTCTAGGAATTGTAAAGTCATAAATCCAGAGCCAGGAGCCTCCCTGCTCCTGCCATACCTCCTGGCTTTGTGGTACCACATTACTTCCTGTTTTGACTTTTCTCCATGTCCCAGCCTCATAAGAACCAGTGAAGATCCAGTGAAGACATGGTGTAACGCCCAAGTTACCTTTGCTCAGAACTGGTCACTCTTCAATCTCCAGTCCTCCCCAAGCCTGCCAGGCCCTCTTGATCTCTGTCCTGGCCTCCTCTCAGACCCTGCTTCCTACTTTTGCCCTATCGCTACTAGTGGCATTCTCCATTGCTCGGTCTTCCTTGACACTTCAATTCCCTCCTCTTTCTCCCAAGTTCCAGTGTCACCTCCACAGACAGACCCAGACTCAAGGTTCCTGTTCCTTAACTACCATGTGTTCTCTGCTTTTCATTATGACCCCCACATAGGAACTGGAAAAGGAAAGAGCTCTCTATTTGAGTTATTTTTAAAATAGTTTTATGCATTCTTAGAGAATTCTATGCCCTCACACTTTATTCATAAACATGTATTTTGATCATATATATCATCATTGCTCTAGCTCCTCCAGACCCACTCTCATTGACTTACCCATCAAACTTCATGTCCTTAAAAAACTGAATTAAATCTATGTTGCCCAAATGCCACTGGGCCTGGGAACATCGCCTGGAGCATGGTTGACCTACCAGGCCTGGGCACACCCTTAAGGCAAACTAACTCTCCTTTTCCCAGAAGCAATGAATTGCCAGTATCTTCTCAGCTGGGGGTGACACTTGGTGTCCACCTCCCCATCCATCCGTGCTGGGATTCTTTTCAGGCTTCAGCTTGCACAAGTCGATTTGAGTTCTTAAAATGATGTCAATTCCGTTCATGAGGATAACTGCTGCTGTAACAAACAGAGGCTTAAAATTATTCATGCCTATCATCTTCCATTTATGAAATTCAGAAGTTCAAAAAATGGCTGTCATGGGGCTCAAAGTGGCATAGTAGTGGGATGGCATTTGGAGTGTGTGGGAGAGAAGCGATTTTGGAATCTTAGCCTTTTGTACCTACAGGGACCCTTCTGGCCACTTCACTCTGATTTCTGTTTTCATTGCCATCTCCCTTCTCTCCCGCCCCCCTCCCTCCATCCCTTCCTTCCCTCCTCTCTCCCTTTCTCTGTTCCTTTATAGTGACACTTGATGGGCTGCCCGGGTGATATATGATATTCTCAAATCTTGGAGTCTCTATACTTCACTCACCTTTACAAAAACCTCTTTGGTCATGCAAAGTAACAAATTAGACTGCACCATCTTCTGGTGCTGTTAACTCTCTTGCTTCAGAAAGCAATGGGAAGGGAGTTTGTCTGCTCTTCTCCTCTTGTTCCTTTTTTATGATCACCATGACCATCTAGTGGAACCAACCCTGAGCTGTATCTATGGGGCTTCTTCTGTCAGAATGTCATTGTAGAAGGAGATCACTTCAATACACACACAACACACACACACACACACACACACACACACACACACACACACACACACACACACACACACACACACCTTCCCAAACCATCAGGGGAAAGGGCCACACCATTGTTTTGGGCTAATAAATGACTGCAGACCAAGCATTCTATTGGTGAGATGAGACATATAAGCACTTTTTCTACCTACCTTTGCTTTGATTATCAAGATTACTGAGTTCAAGGAAGGTAGACTCACAGTCAACATCTGGATAAAGCCCAGCACAGTTCTCCCACCTCCTGCACTTGAGATGGTAAGGCAAGAGGATTTGAAGTTTAATGCAAGCATGGCCTACTTGGTAAGACAATTTCTCAAAAGCAAACAAACAAACAAACAAACAAAAAACAGTCAGGATAAACCAGTAAGTGTTGCAATATAATTTAAAGTCACCATATGCAGCATATAACCTAGCTTATCTTTTTTTATTTTATTTTTTTGGGGGGGGTGGAAACATTCAAAATTTATTTTTGGACAGACAATATCAACAGGTAAAACTATGGCATAGTCCACACATTCATTCACAGGGTGTGAGAAAGCCACGGCTGGTGTGTTCTCTGTAACAATATCCCCTTCACAGTGTAAACAGCTGAACAGGCAAACCAGCAAACACTTTATCACAGGGCTCACTTAACAATCCCAGAAGGAAAGGCACAACATGGCAGGAAAAAAAGAAAGTTTTGGATCCTAAAATCAGGCACAACAGGACAGAGGAAAGGAAAGGAAAGTGGTGGATGAGTTCCCATCCTCATTTTGGCATTGGCATTCCATGGGGCAGGAAGAAATCTTCTACCCAGGAGCTAGAAGTATGGCCCTCCTCCCTCATTAAACCAGCAGAACACTGTTACAAGAGCTGCTCAAAATGATGACACACAAAAAAATATAATCCAACAAAAGCACAGAACCAACCACAGAGACATCTTGAACATCTGCCCCTTAACTCCTAAGTTGAAGACCTGGGAATGCTTTGCTAACCTCGCACAGACCAGTGTTCTGTGCAAGGGTTAATGGGAAGGGAAGATGAAGATTGAACTCTCCTGGCTGCTCCTCTCCATTCACCTGTGTCTATTGGCAGGCTGTCCAAGCTACTATCCTGGACTTCCTTGTTCCTTTGATGGAAATGCCCATTAACTTTACCTCCTAGTTGTTTGGTTTCTTTTCTCCGGTGATAGACTGTTTAGTGCCTTACTTCATAAAGAAGCAGAGTTGCAGTTTGCTAAGAAGCAGTTCTAATGCAGATCTAAACAAGGATCTTAGGGAAGGGAGAGTGGTGTTTAGGAAAAGAACAGCACACACCCAAGACATGGGTGTGGACTTTGAAACAGTTGCAACACCTATACAAAACTGTCTTTGATCACAGACAGCTGCTGCTTTCTCCTCCTCATGATAGAAATGATAACAGATCCACAGGTGTGACAGATGAGGCTCTAAAAGGAGAGTAAGCAGTGCTGTGAGCGTTTAAACAAGATGGCTCTCTTAGAGTAAGCCCTGGGAATGAAGTATGCTTCGTGCAAGGTGAATGCACAGTGGGGCATAATTTAGTGACTTCAGAGAAATCAAGGTAAAAGAAAAAAACACACAGACATCTATCTGGGGGCAAAATGCAGTTGGAAGGGAGGTGTGCTGAGTTGCCAAGACCTAGATCTCAGGCATCTTTAGGTACCAGAGATCCTGGTTTTGCCCTCCTGAATGGCATCCCTCCCTTGTCTCCTCTTACCCTCCAGCTTGATGCCTTCAGATTAAAACTGGACCTTATATGTGTATTTCACAAAAACTGAATTGCTGCAGGAGTTCCCATAAGCACTGTCAGAGCAGCTAGTCCTACAGCTGGGGTGTCAATAAAGGTTCCGCTGGCCAGCCTGAGAACCCATCACCCAGTGAAGAGCACTGTTTCCATGGAAACCTGCAATTGGTGACCCAAATATGCAAGTGAAAGTTCGCTGTTTTACCTACCTCATTGTTTGGGTCCACTGAGGATTGCCACTATTTCATAAAAACCAGGGCTCTCTTTTGCATAGGCGGGTTTTCTCTCTGCAAATCACCCTGTCAGCATGGACCACCGGGGTCCCTCTGTTCTACATCGGCTGCACTTAGTTATAAACTTTTATTTTTGGCCGGGCTAGCCAAAACCAAGATGGAAGTCATTCTCCAGGTTATTGCTCACTTGCATCTCTCTCCATCCCTTAAACCCCTGCAGGGCGAGCCCTGCTGAGACTCACCGACAAGAAGCTGGAACGCTTGGGGATCGCCCAGGAGAACCAGAGACAGCACATCCTCCAGCAGGTGCTCCAACTGAAGGTGCGGGAAGAAGTCAGAAACCTGCAGCTACTCACACAAGGTAGCCTGCTGCTTCCTGGCGGGTGGGTGCCTGGGACCCCGGGAAGACGGAAAATGTGATCGTTGTGACAGAGGGGAGCCAGGAAATCGGTTGTTGTTTCCTTACAGAATTCTCTTCATTAAAAGCAAAGAAGTAGGTGGCTTTACTTCGCCCCAAAACTTTTCTTTTTCATTGCTCACCCGAGAGAGACATGCATCAATAAGTAATGGGCGCACAGTTGGAATTACTGGCGCTAACTTCAAGGTTATCACGTGCAGCCGCATAGCTTGCTTACTGTACGGCTCCAGAGAGTACCAATCACATTGATCAGGGTCCAATTGCTCCCTCCAGAGTTGTGTGGTGTTCAGGCTGCACAACTGAATAGCCAAGTCCTGGCTGCCCTCATATGATCGATAATTCTGAGGAGGTCTTGGAATCTGAATAACTCTAAAGTTAATATGGCCAGAGATAGAGATGAGATTTTGATATATTTGCTTTACTTTGCTTTTCATTGGCCAGGAGAGGGGGAATGTTTTAAATGTACCTCCATTCAGCTGAATTAATGCATGCATATACTTTAGAGATTTTGAAAACTCTATTAATGCCTTGAGAATAGAGTAGATTTAAAATAGAGACTGGGAAATTTAAATTTGGACTGGTTAGGGCTGTTTAACTCCATGTTGTCATGAGGAACTTCAATATAATTGAGAGCACATATGACCTCTATAACCCTGAAGTATCAAGAAAATCTAAAAAACTCTAAGTACCACTATATGTAACTTCCGTATTTACTTACTATTTGATAGATATAAGCTTCTATTGGCTGTGCTCTTTCTTCTTCCGTTGCCCATCATGCATCATTTTAAATGAAAAGATGATAAAGTGTTTTTGAGAGCGTTGGATAGTTTTCAGTGTTCAAAACATAGTAATTGTGTGCATACTGGAGAAACCTAGGTCAGCCAGGTTTCCTGTCATTGCATTTAGATTAACCCAGTAATAGTCCATTTGTGTAGAGCAGCGGTTCTCAACCTGTGGTTCATGGACCGTTTGAAGGTTGTGTATAAGATATCCTGCCTATCAGGCATTTATATAACAATAGCATAACAACAACTATGAAGTAGCAATGAAATAACTTTATGGCTGGCAGTCTCCACAACATGAGGAACTGCATTAGAGGGTTAGAGTAATAGGAAGGTTGAGAACCACTGCCCTAGAGGAAAAGATGTAGTGCCTGAAAGATGAGTGCTGCAAAGGATAAATACAAACGGGAGAGTGATGCAAAAATGCTGGCAGCTCTTGGATACGCTTGTTGGAAGTTTGTCCCTAGACACTCCTGGTGGTGAGTCATAGGAATGGGTGTACTGAGTAGTCTGAATGTGACCTGTTGGTACACCTTTACTTCTCTTAAGAAGTAAACAGAGATAAGGAAATTTATGACAAGAATTGCTACCATAGTACTATTTCTAAAGTGGAAAAAAAGAAGCAGATAATTTTGATTAAACTCTACAGAACCCAAGCACTAAAAGTACCCTTTAAAGAGTACATAATGTAAGAAAAAGATTGGAGAAACGGGGGGTAAAAGCCAATGGAAAAGTGGATTTATAGCATGGCTCAACTTTTCAAAATACAGATGTTATATATTTTTACATATGTGTAATATGTAAATAAAAGAGGTGCGGATGATTATGCCATATTTTCAGGATGGTTGTTTCTGGGACACACGCTTGTGGATGATCTGAGCTGTAGTCACTGCACGCGTCCATGTTTACCGAATCCACTATATAGTTGTCCTGTTGTTTAATCAGAGCATGTTAACTAGCAGCTCCTACAGAATCCTTCTTTCCAGGTTCTATTTGGTGTCTGGACCTTCTTGGAGCTTTGTTTTTCTTCTGTGTTGATGGTGAGGGAGAGATGTATCCTCCTGGGGCGTGCCTTTGACACCATCCTCCACTCCTTTCCCCCTGCCAAGGCTGTACCTCACAAAATCATCTTCAGCATGCATTGCCCAGAAGTCTTCCTCAAATACTGTTTAAATCGACTAAGCTGGATGCCTATCAGTGTTCTGGGAAGGTCCTAAGCTCAACCATTCTGATTCCGCTGTTGGCATCCCCCGCCCCCGTTAAAAAGGTATACATGCTGTGCTCTTTCATCCCATTGCCTTTAGAAGAAGTTAGTGTTCTCTCTAGCTCGTGGGTATTTTTCTCTGAATTTTTATGGCCTTTCTTAGTGCTTGTCCTTCATATGTCAGTGTTCAGAATCACTTTATGTTGGGCATCCTTTAAAAAAAAATCCACAGTTATTGAAGTGATCATTTCCTTTTTCAGAAAAGGAAACAAAATTGACAAGATGTTTTGAAGATTGATAATAGAAGATGTAAAGTGATCTGGAGACACTTTAAATTATTGGGG